GGAGATTTATGATGACTCTGAAGATGATATTTGTAGTCAAGCGAACTATTACATTGATGATGGACAGAATGATTACTACATGGATCATGAGCTAATAACTACACCGTCGACAAGCCATATGACACTAAATGTAAATAGTTATTATGAACACGCAGGTGGTTATAATTATCAAGAGGATTACTTTAATGAAGAAGACGAGTTCAAATATTTACAAAATGAAGCCGAAAGAAATGAACAAGAAGCTCTTTTGTATGAAAATCAAAACTTAGAGCAAAAACAGCATCATATTCAACAACAAAATAATAAATTATTAAATCAAAACCAAACTCCTTTAGATTTCATTGAGGATACTTTCATAGCGGACAATTATGCGAGCGACGACAGTGGTAATTATTTAGATGATAACTCCAGCGGTAGTGGTGGTGTTAGTGTTGAGGTTTCTAGTGTTGGCCAGTTATCAACTAATAACAATTTGGGCGCAGATTTTAAAAATAATTCGGGTTCAGTAGCCAGAAAGGAGACGTTGCAACTTAATAATAGCAGCACTTCATTTCACCAACAGATTAAAAAACAAGACAGCATTATTTTAGAAGAGAATGAGCATGAATTAATAGAACCACATGATTTCAATAAACCAGTTACAACCGACTGTTCTGCGCTGCACAATGTGCCTCCATTTAACCGACGATCCAGCGGCACATTTTTAACTGATACCGAAGATCAATTAACTAATTTGCCTCCTATTTCACAATTAGTTGCACAAAAACGTAAATTATTAATGCGGGGGGAAACAGAAGAAGTCGTTAGCGGCCACATGCAAATATTACGAAAAAAAACAGAAGTAACTGCTAAACAGCGTTGGCATTGGGCCTACAACAAAATTATCATCAATTTAAATGTAAGTTTACTTATTAATGTACGTAATTTATTGCTAAAATATTTTTTGTTCACTAATACACTATGATTTCCAATAAGTTTCATGAGATTCTCTCAACTGCATCTTTAACTTTATAATATAAATAAATCCAAATTTCAGTTGACACTCATAGCACTTAAATGGTGAATATAGTTGTATCAGAGTAATTATTAAATAAGAACAATACTATATATATTATATATACTATATACTGTGATAATTAGCAAAAATCTATTTAGTCCTGCAAGAAAGAACTCTCATCCTTCATCGTAGTGCTTTGTCTGCCTCAGAGCTTTTTCAATTGATTTATGTACATTAATGGTTTCATTAATTAAAACTTTGGTTTATTTTTCCTTAAACGTCTTGCAATAAAATAAAAATAATAAAAAATATGATAAATTAAGCTCTAGCCCCAAACTTAGAAAAACTTCCGATTCAAGAACAGTTTTTTATCTATATTTCTATAATGGAAATGACTTTCCATTATAGGAAACAAGAGTTCTGAGAACTCTATATCATACAGAAATCTTAGTAAGCAAATACGTATTATAATCAGGGTTCATATTTGCTTATTCATGAGCAGCTCAGGCTCATGAGCAAGAGCCAATTCTTATGTGAGCCCAAAATAGGCTCATGAGCGTGAGCCTAAAATTGGCTCATATTGAAGAGCTGCGCACCAGCGTGAGCCTTCACGTTGCTCATATTGAAGAGGTGCTCATGAGGTCTCACAAGCCGAGAGCTCACGAGCTCAACTGTGTAATAAAAAGCGATTTATTAGTTTATTTGCTTTATTTATTTTTATAAACGTTATATGTGAAAATATATTATTTGAAATTAACTTAGCTTATTATTATTTGTATTAAAACAATATAATGAAACAATAATTTGAATTTGAAAAACAAATTTATAAAATATTATTATTTTCCACAAATAAACAATACAAATATATTTATTGTTTATTTTAAGAACTTTTATTATTTCCATATTATAGTTAGTTCAAAGTTATTAATATTTTAAATCCTTTTTAATGACATGTTTTCACAAAATGAGATCTCATGAGCCGCAGCTCATACTCTTGCTCACGAGTGTGAGCCCATTTATAACTTAATGGCGGCTCTTACTCGTGAGCGTGTTGGGCTCGCTCGTGAGCCATCGTATGGAAAGAGTTTTTTGCCGGCTCATGAGCCGTGAGCAGAATGAGCCAAAATGAGCCGCTCATGGGTACGCAAATACGAACTCTGATTATAATTACTGTCTGCAGTGGATGGATTAGTGTATATGTTATATAGAAAAAAATATGCAGAAAAATTAGTGACTTATGTTAGCGAGGTGCTTACAGAAATATAATTTCGCAACTACTATAGAGCAATGTTGGCCGAAGGGAGTGAGTTCGAATGTAAAGATCAATTCTACAATTCGTTACACAAAGCAAAACTAAACGTTTTAGCATTTAAATACCTCTATTGGTGACGACAATACTACATCAAAATACGTAATTGGATAGCCAGATTGAATACTTCAACGAATATAGTTGAAGTTTACAGATTATTGGTTTAAATATGTTCCAATAGGGTGCCATTAATTTTCGGTAAGCTACTGTTAAGGAAAAGTGATAGATTTACTATATAAGAAGTTATCATATTTTGGTAAAAGGCACGAATACCAATAAAAGAATACAAACACTGCATAAATATGGTAAATTAGAAAACATTGTTCGACATAACCTGAGATCACAAAGAGTAAAAGACGTAAAAAACAGTTCAAAGATTGTGAGCTAAATGGAGTTTGTTTGCCTTGGGATGGAAAATTGCTGCCAGCTTTAGAAGAAAAACAAAATGTTAACCATTTACTTATTACAATCTCAAGTGGGCCAGTTAAGCAATTATTTGAAGTATCTGCTCTGAAAAATGGTACCGGAAGAGCACAGGCATCTGCAATTTTTGAATGGGGTTTGCAGGATCACGTGCAAGCTTTAGTTTTTGCTACAACAGCAGTAAACACTGATCGTTTTAACGGAAGTTGCTCAATTATTGAAAAACATTTAGAAAGAGATCTTTTATATTTAGCTTGCGGATATCACATTTCCAAAATTATTCTTAAAAGTGTTTTCCATGCTAAGATTTGCAAGACTGAAAACCCACATGCGAACTATTTTAACGATTTCAAAAGTTTTGGACGAAAATAAACGTTAATAATTTTATAGTCGGCTTAGAAAATGAAAAAGTAAGAAAATCGTTGAGCACAGATGATGTATTACGAATTACAAGTTTCCTTAATAAGATTCATAAGGATAACCAACCGAGAGATGATTATAGGGAACTTATATAACTTGTATTAACATATTTTGAAGAAAAGCCGAACTGCAGCGTAAACTGCAGCCCCATCAATCACGCAAGATGATTGATTATTTTTTAGTAGAATGAACCGATGTGGGGGTGCAGTCAATTGATTTTCCAAAAAAAAAAAACAAATTGCCCACATACCTTAATGGCATCCTAATGTTCCAACCATGAACTTATAGTTGCGATATAAGTGCTAAGTCTTAGAGTGCGAAAAATAACAAATGCTAAATTGTGTACTATCTTTATAAATTCGAACTGCTTATATACGGATAAGTCAGAAACATGGACTGTTTTAGCAATAACTAAGATGAAACTATAATATTGCTCATATATAGAATAAAATGTCAAAGAACTATAAGTAATGATGAGTAATGCTAAATAATAAAACAGAGGCGTATAGAAGCAGACATAATATTTTGTTTTTATATGTGTAAATAAAAAATCACCAGTTTTTTAAAAAGCTAGATAGGTCAAACATAAATCATATGACAACATCGTATGTGCAGTATTCACGTATACCAGGCGACGTGGTTGACTGCAGATATTTTAGAGAAGCAGGATTTTAAACGAATCTGGAAAACGAACGAACGAGTTTAGACCATTAGCACGTACCTGATAAAGCTGAATAAAACCTTTGTGAACACATTTCGCTCAAATAATTTTTAAATTATTCGTGTGAAAACATCCGGGCACCAATTCGTTTGAAAAACATTAGACCTTTTATATCTACTGCATATTCAAGAGCATTCAACTAGTTTTAGTGATAAAATATAAATAAATTATTATAACAAATTCATGCGTGCAAAAAATTAGGTTAAAAACTAAAAACGTTTGTTAGAGTTTGAAGTTTGTTATTTACATTGTTGACGTTGTTAAGTTTGGGTTGTTAACGGCGGTTACCTTTTAAAAATGAATCGCTTCGGTATAATCAAACCTTATACTAACAAGTCCGAAGGTGAACTTAAGTCTTCGAGTGAATATAAAAATATAGTAACAATAGCAGAAAGAGTACGAAAACTTAGTACATTATTAAAATATGGACATGCATGTCTGTTAGATGATAAAGTAAGTTATTTAATTTTATTTACCCAATAAATGGAACGAGACTTTTCTAACATATGTTAAGGAAACTAGTAGCCATAATTTGTATGCTTTTTGGATGAGAGAATTTCTCAGTATTTGTTATCTGTGCAGAACAATACAGCAAAGAGAGTTTATTTCTAAATTAAACAAAGCACGAGCATGCGAAATGAAAGCTCAATATATCTTCATTATTCTCTATTTGAGAACTCAAAATTTCTACTTCACCTATTGTGTAAAAATGCGCATGTCACTTCTGAGGCACAGTAAAATCTTTTTTTTTTGTATTTGAAAACTACTTGAAACAATATATTGTATCTAAACCATAAGTTTCATCAAATTTTGTTGAAGTTTGGATATACCAGCTCAATTTCTGTGCATTCTAAGGTTAAGTTTAAACATAGTGCGTAACGCACCTTGAACTGTAAATACACTTCCATAAGTCATGAAAGCCAACTACAGAACTAGATGCAAATCATTGTACGTTTTGTAGGCAAGAGAGCGATAACATAGAGCATTTAACTTGCATCTCACATATAAACAGAAATACAACTGGAAAAAAACAACAATCATTTTTTACGTTTAGTTCGACTTCAATTATTACTAAAGAATTACGAATTACATTACATAGAATTACATATATTACAATTACATTGCTGTCTTCTTCTTCAAAAAAAATATTTTAAATAAAAGTGAATTCCGTATGAAAAATTTGAAATAAAACTCGAAAGTCTGCAAAGTACATTCTTTACAGAAAAGGATAAAGAAGTATACACACTTGTAAATGTAAAGGGGACAAGCAAGTCTATATTTCAGTTAGCATGTGAAGCGAGCAGCAGTGCATTGTGTCCTGTGTGTAAAATATTTTACTACATTTAAAGTCTGGTGTTAAATGGATTTAATAATATACACTGTCTTGGTGATAAATTTAAAGTTCCGATGCAGAAATGAAGCTCAAAATTGATGTTTGAATTGATGAATTAACTTGCCATATAGTGAAAAACATAATACACAATAAAAGTGCTGTAAAGCGATTTCGATATGTTTGATGTTATTACAAATTAAAATCACGCATACCGAACTGTAGCCTGAAATATTTTTGCACATAAAATTTTGGCCGATGTCATTTCTTTCAACTTAATACATGCTTCGTTTATCTGTTGCTTTATTCAATTAAAAAAATTGAAAATAAACAGTTCTATAAACAATTTATTGTTTATTGTGATTTAGGGGGCGAATAATGTAGCGAAATTTATAGAATTAACCCATCTGACTGTAAAACTACATTCCAAGACATTCGCTATCATATTTTTATAAAGTGAAAGTTCAGTAAGCGAACATATTATACCTGATATTATAAAATTTATAAATAATTATTCATGATGTCAATGGTTTGTACTAATGATGATTTTAATCAACTTTCCGATACAATAGTTCATAATTTATATAATGGAGATCGTCAAGACCTTGCGAAATATGTATTACCGATATCAGCAGCTAAGAACTATTATCATAGTCAAAAGAACAGTCCATTCGCTGCAATGATCTCACCGGTAAAAAAACAAATCCGTCACCAACATCGTCGACATCATCAAGACCAATGGCAGTCATCGCAGGATTTGGATCTGAATAAGCTTTCAAATATTAAGAGCATGAATAATTTTTCCGAAAGTCAGCCAAATCTGGAGCTTCAAGAGCCTGGTGTTCTTCAGAGTGATTCTATGTTGCAATCGTTTATAAACACACCAAATTCCTCATATCATACAGCTCAATTAAAGAGCAATAATGATGTCATTAGTTTTAGAGACGGGGTAAATAATACTCTCCTTTCTGATGACATGGTACCTGTTACTAGTGATCAACAACTATGCCAACTTTATAATACACAACAACACGCGGATTATATAATTTCAGATTATATGGATAAAATATCAACGCGCATATCTCTCTTAGAGACTGAACTAAAATTTGCTTGGCGTGCTTTGGATTTACTGTCAGGTGAATACAGTAAGATATGGGGACGATTAGAAAAATTGGAAAATATTTCAGTAGAGCAGCAGTCTGTTGTTACCAATTTAATGGATTTAATTGCAACAAAAAAGCACGAAATAGAAAACTTGACGTTTATGGAAGAATGCGATCCACAAGCGTTTCTCGAATACTTTACCCAAAATGATATAGCTTCAGATATAGTTAAATTTTCAGAACACGATACTGAGTTGTTGAATACGGTTTCAATAAAAGTGCCACAAACCTTTAATAATTTTTTAAAACAAACTGGAAATGATGTATTCGATAAAAATTTAGAGGGTGATCTTGATGCACTGAAAAATCTTTTACAGTCAAAGAAATGCAATTCGGAATCAATTCAAACAATTCCACCATTTATATCATCCTCCTTTGATGAAAACTTAATTTTAAATGACGACAGCAATCAAGCAAATCCACTTTATAGTACCAACACACATAATAAAAATACCTTGTTTATGCCATATGCATCAATCAGTAACTTAAGACGCGACATATTAAATATTAATGAATATCAGGAAATGAAGTCAGTTAAGTGTACAGCACGACCAAAACTAAACTCTGATTCAGATATCAATTTATTTGAAAAACAGCAGGAGATGGTAAATAATGCTAAGTCCGAACTGCTGCAAGAGTTTCTGAAGGGGCGTCAAACGTTAGATAATATTTCATTAGGCATTCACAACTCCAATTATTTCGAAAAAAGAGAAACAAGTAGCATGTATGATTTACCAAATAAAATAAAACATCCAGACGACATTTTACACAAAACACTTTCCTATGTACATATAACAACTAACAATGATATAAATAATTTGTGTGATAAAGTTAATGATACACCAACAAATATTGATGATACTAATGAAAACGCGAAGTTTTTTCGACTAGCTGCCTTTAAAATGGGTGACGGAAGTCCGCAGGTTGTTCCAATAGAGGATACGGGCGGCACAAATTTAGCAAAACCAATAGAAATAGCGAGGAACAACGAAATGAATGAAGAATTTTATAAAACTCTAAATGAAGCCTACCGTGATAATAATTTAACTACTGAAATATCAAATGTTGAACGATTATTGGAACAATCTGAAGTTGTGCATGAGCATATGCGAAGTCTAGGAGTAGATAACAGCTCAGTGATTGGTGTAACTATAGAAGACAACGAAAAGCAAAGAGAAAAAGGTATAATAAAGGAAAAAACGCAAAGCTTATCATGCTTGTTGGAAGAATCATTTTCTAGTAACCAAAAGGGGTCAAAAGATTTCAAAAAATCTAAAAAAAAAAAGGCACCAAAAAGATGAAATGGACATGTTGAACAACCTTAAGAGTGCTTTAGCACAAGCTGCTTTAATATCGCATGATCAATTACAAACTGAATTTGACAAAAACTTTAAACGTGGACTGTCTCATAAAGAAGTAACTCTGAAAAAAAACTCAGACATACATATTAAAGACTCAAGCATTGATACCAATCGATATTCTATTACATCATTATCATCCGAAGATAGTTCGAATGACTATGAGTCGAATGCCTATATACTTGACAATATTAGTGAACTTCTTTTACTAGAAATTAATAAAGTTAACGAACTTCAAACTCTAACCGCTGATCAAATAATCAGTTTGCGTCAATTTATTACATCAGAGCATACATTTTTTGAAAAACTAAATCAAGTGGACAAAAATTTAATACTATTGCTACTGAATCCGATAACTTTATCCGATGAATTGCATGCTTTTGCTGGTAATAAAAATAAAAAGTTCGAACTAGTAATGAAAAAACTAGAAACAAATATTGAAGTCTTAAAAAAGCTAGTTGGAAGTTCTTTTGATGATTACAAAAGACAATTTTCAAAAACAAACTCTGTTACCAACAACATTAAAACTTCAAAATCTTGCAATAGTGCTGCTTACTTGCCAGATAAATCCATAGTTAACAAAAAAACAGCTAATTTTGACTATAGTGCTCATCTTTTGAGAAACAATTCAAATTTAGATGAGCAGCTTAAAATTCTTGAAAATGAAGAAAATGAAATTTGTAAAAAAAAGGAAATATCACAACCTCAAACAACTACTGCTACAGGTATTTTAAACTGCAGTGAGTATTTAGCAGAAGATAACCACCCATTTACTAATACAACTGAGGAAACATGTTTAAAGACTGACAGCTCCAAACTAGCTACGTCAACCTTGAATCTCTATAACAATGATGAGTATATAAAATCTCTTAAAGACAGTTTAGAAAAACATAATAGTATGCTATTTCTATTGCATTTAGGAAACCAAGAATATCAAAAATTTGACAGCGATTTTATGCATATGAATATAAATGATATATTGCTTGATTCTAATGGAAGACAAAGTCCGCCTCCACCTGCTCCAAGTGATAATATTTTTTACGATGACGACGGTATTCAAACCATTAATAAAATGAAATCGGGTTTTATAAGTCATTTTCAAGAGTTTTCAGAAAATTCCATCAGTGGTAAATTAACAGATTTAAATGAAACTAAATATGAACTACAACAACACGACCATCATAAAATTAATATTTCATCAAATTCTCCCAAGCAAACAAAATCTGATTCAGGCCTTTCATCATTGAGTGGATTTTCTGGAAAAGATAAATCTCCTAATTCTCCTATAACTAATTCTTTTTGTAGTAATGCAAGCAATCCTTTTCTTGGCAAATACCAAAATGGAATTTTTGCTAATAATAAAAACGTTTCTGAAGTTGCATTTAAAGAGACCATTATGAGTGCAACAGACTCGAAGACACTATGTCAAAATTTTTCTACAACTATAGTTTCAGCAATTCCACCAATGCCAGGCAACGGTCCTCTTTTTATAGCAACTGAATCGGTAAAATCACACCGTAATATTCAAAAAGATTATACTTTCTCCGAAGAGAATTTAAATTACATTAGTGAGTTGTCTAAAAATATGCCAATTTGTTCGGCATATGAAAATAAATCAATTTTTAATGTGCTTAAGAATGTTGAATTGGATACAAATGTATACACCGTAGACGAAATGCTAAATTGGAGCCCACAACATCAGGATATTCGACAATATCAGCAACACACCCATCAAATGTCAACTGAAGGAAGTGACTCTTTGGAAAGAATGCCAAAAACACAATCTGCTTACGAAGATAATCTGCGCAATGACGTAACTTCAGAGACCACTTCAGCTAAAGACAAAACTAAACACATAAACTGGACTCGTCGAATACCTGATCTTCTTAATCAATCTAGCACAAATAAGAACTTGAGTACTGTTCAACCTAATGAAGGATACTATGAAGAAACAGATATTGACCGAATTGAAATGCGCGATCAAAACCGAAATCGTCAATTAACTGATCGTTTAGTTTATTATCCAACTTCAAATGGCATTTGTGATTATAATAGTAGTAATAAACTCGATTATTTGGGCAAATCGGACCAACATCAACAACATAATTACCAATTTTTTGGCAATGAAGTTTGTTATCAGCAACATAAAACACAAAAGCATAAACAAGAACAGCAGCATCAAATAAATGTAGTAAGCTCTAGCTCTCCACTATCATACAATAGCAGCAGTCGATCATTCAACAAATATAATAATATTGTGAATGCTCAGTACCTGCAGCAAAAGGAATATGGTACACCACCAATTGGTGATAAAAAAGTTATTTCACATCAGCGAAAGCAACCAAAAGTTTGGCACAAAATAAGCCATTTACTGCCAGATCATCTGAAAATAAAGCGACGAACTCGCTATAATCGTTCACAATCTTTACCGGCCGTTGATGTCCAACTCGATGATGATATAGAAATACAATCACGTGGTCAGGCTGAGTCGTTTCCATCTGTCGTGAAAACACCAAAGCTCAATAAAGTGGATTATGAAAATGGCGATATTGGTACTAGTAAAATGGCTATTGGAGGAAGTTTAAGAAAATTGGACTTATCAAAGCGTCTGCAGTTCATGTCGAGAAATTTACATAATGTAAACTCAACACCCTCATCCAACAAAAATAGTGTTAAAGACACATTGAATAAATCTCATAAGAAAAGATCTCTCTCAACGACAGTAAACAGTTTTATGCAAAAGGCTAAAACGTATCGGAGACATAGCTTTAGCTTGCACCACGGGATAAGTATTTTAGAGACAGAAAATGATACACCGAGTTTTACATCATCGGACTATGAAGACTCAGTTCCAAGTGATAATGATACAAAGGCACAGAATTTATCACCTATTAATTTGTTCCCTCAAATGTCGAGTTTAAATAAAAAAGGGGAGAAAAATGATGATACAATTGAATTTTTTGGTACTAATCAACCAGATATTAATAAGTTATTTCCTACTGTTGAGTTAATAAAAAAAATTCCAACGTTTAATATTGAAGAAGAATTGGATTGTTCAAAAGATTTTAAAAGTAATTCCTCTCCCGATATTGATACAAGTTTAATAGAAATTAAAGAAAGTGTGGATTCTTTACCTGACCTTAATAAAAAGCAGTTCTTTTATGCTACTAATGAAAGGATTAATGAAGACGCAGAAGCAAATTTAATTAGACATAATGCTTCAACAGCTGTTTTAAGTGATGCACCGTGTTTAATAATAGCATCAAATACGTCATCTGCAAATACCATAAACTCATTAAAAATAAATAATGTCCAAACACAGCAATCTCTTGATCTCCCTAACAGTATAATAAGAGATGATGACGACAATAAAAGTCAACAATCTTATCGAACATTATGCTCATCTAGACGTCAAAGTACTGAAGATAGTATAGATACTGACGATGAATATTTTTGCTACGAATTGAGACAACTAGAACAGTTGGAAGAGGAACAACTGCTAGCTGAGAGTAAGCTAGCAGAAGTCACTGAATCGAAGTCATCAAACAATAAAAATTCTTTTGTTTTTACACAAATTGATCAATTAGCCTTGAAAGATAACATTGAACATCAGGAACAAGATAGCTGCTTTAATAATTTGAATGCCACGGATTATGTACCGGACGAACATGTAAAGTTTATAATGTGTCAAGTGCTGCAGGAATTGAAGACTGTAGTTAATGTTCACGAAGACTACGAAAATAAGGAGCAACTTTCATGCCAACAAGAAAAATATAGTAACTTATCTAAGCTACACAGCTTAAATAAGCTTGAAAAAATATCAAATATTCATAGTGCTTGGCAAGATGTTAATACTGACGAAATTTCCATAGGTTTAAACGACGATCAAAATATAACGGAGCTTATAGAAGCAAATCTTATATCTGAAAATAATAAGTTAAAACAAAACATAATAAATGATGCTGAAGCAATCAATGGAACCACAAATCTCGTAAGTAAAGAAAAGCTTCTTCGTATGCAGCAACATCAATATACGGATAATTCTCAACAACAAAAACGTTACAGAAAGAGACGTAAACAGCGAATAAGTGAAGATTGCGATGATTATCATCCTCAGTATTCCTCAAATTTAGAAGACTCTTCAGACGAAGAGTGCAATCAGCATATAAATGAAATAAAAACATTAAAAAAACAAAATGAAAACAACGAAAACCTTGCCAAATCTTATTTAAATTTAGAAATTGAAAATAGTTCATCAGAAGCAACTTCTGGACCCGATACTCCAGGTAAATACAGTGACGAACAAGAAGATATGGATAATGAAAATGTAACAAAACCGAATAACCATCTATATAAGAATTCGGAACAAACAACATTAAACGCACCGCTGCAAGAAAATACTGGCTTCCTGCAAGTAACTACAGAAAGTCCAAAGTTGTCGGAGCAAAAAATAAGTTCTGATATGCATACAGGTGCATTAGAAACATTAAATTTTCAAGTAGATGTAAAAACAAGTATAACCGATAATGCTAATAATACCTCATCGGTTTTAATAACAAATCCGGACACTAACGCAGAAAATATATTGCAAGGTCTTAACGCTAGTAAAAATGCCCTCGGAAGCAGCAAATGGAAACTTTTAAAAACTTTGAAAGAACGAAAAATTGAAGAAAAAAACAATCAGGATAAATTAAAAGATGAGGAATCATCAAAAGATCAAGAAAAGGTAATTCTTTTATTGCGTTTGTTCTGTATATACAGCATTGTAAATAATGTATTTATTATTATCTGAATATATATATTGAAGGGTAGAAGGCGCCTTAACTTTGGTTTTGTATACCGTTGTATACTCTAATAAATCCTTATAGAACAACTTTTATTACGAAAATGAATAATGTATATTTAACCGTCCACTGAAATTTTTTCTAAATTAAGAGTTATTTTTTTTTTTTTTTGTAAGTTAACGATGTCAATGTTAACGGCATTTACTGTGCGGAATTTTTTAAATATATGTGCACTTCTATGGTACTATACGTGTATTATCTACTTTTTTAGAATGGAACTGTTTCCGGCGAAATTGGAATGCGTGGCAATGGTCATCCTGGAGATAACCCATTTTACAGTAATATTGACAGCATGCCAGATATTCGTCCACGACGAAAGTCTATACCACTGGTATCGGAACTTGTGAGTAAACGCTTTTGTTTAATTTGTTATACTTTATTAATTTTAACAGAAAGGACATATGAACGAAGAATTTAAGGTACACTCTTTAAATAATTGATTTTGAATTCTTTACATTATTTCTTGTCACTCATGAAGCATTTAAGAAGTACAATATATATTCTATTACGTTGTAGTATATCTCCATACGAAGTTTAATTACAAAAAAAATAAATTAGCCATTATTATTGATACTCAATATAATTTATAACAATAAGCGTTTATAAATGTAATTTTAGTTTCCATCATTCAATATTTATCCGTAAAATAAAAAACACTAAGGAAAATGTGCAGTTAAATATCATACACGCGTTTTATTCTTTCAGAAAATAGAGTAACAACAAAGGCTATACTCGGCTCACATCAATAAATTTTGACACCTAATCGTTCTGTTATATTTTTTTTTAAGAATAAATGCTAAAGTACAATGATTGCGTTCCTCTCTCAAAAGCTTTCTTGCTTCCTAGTTTGAAATTAAACTATTGCGGTAGCTATTGCAGTATTTTAACAAGTGAATAAAAAAATTTTTTTATTTAAATGTGCAGGTGGTTAAGCAACACATAAATTTTCATTAGCAACAGGATTAATGTCGAAACAGTAAGTTTTGTTGCCCATAACTATTGTGAATTACAAAAGTTGTATTTCATAGGTATGTGATCACCGTTTTGGAAAATAGTAGAGAATAATAGAGTTATAATAAAATTTTAAATAGCATAAATAGTGAATTTATAAATATTTATTAAAGTATTGTAAAAATATAACAATAATTTTGAATTATTTATATGCATAGAACAATTCTCAATAGCATAACAGAACTGAATATAATAACTTTTGTAATAACTTTTATAATAACTCTACTTTTGATTTTCGTATACAAAACACTTTTCACCATAGTGTGGTGAAAAGTTAAGCTTTGAAATTGACCAAGATATGTCCAGAAGAGTAAAAAGAGTTTTGCTTGATAAAAATCTTGATTTATTGTCAATACTATAATAAAAATTTGTCAAGTTCACAGAATTGGGGAGATAAAATCTATAAAGTAAATAAAAAAAACTCTTCTAGAACTTTCCTCTGACACATAAAAGCTCCTTCATATGCACACATCAACTTATACCAATAAAAAGGACCAAATCTTGATTTGATTAATATAAATTGATTTAGCTGCAGTAGGAAGATTGTATAGGTAAGCTGCTAGAAAAACAAACTAAATTAATTTAGCAAAACATTTTTACTTGCGCCTTCGATTACAGAATAACAATAGTATTAAACAAAAGTTTATAGTGCATTGGTAATGTTTCTTAACATGATCAGTACGAAACTTATATGTTACGAATAATAATTTTTCCGCATTTTCTTCTTAATATTTTTAAACCATTCATAAAAAAATCTACTACTTTCTACTTTAAATCTAAATGATATATTAATTGTTTTAAGAAACGAAGCTGTTGTAAAGTCAAATATATTTTGCAAATTAGTAGATCATTGTTGAAACATTAACATTAACATTGTTGAAAAACTTAAATATTGATATGCCACAAAGCACGCCTTTTAGACCTCGTCATCTCCAATTGTACTATAAGTTTTTTTTGAGCTCCTTTTCCGGGAAAGTATTTGATATTTTTTGCTTAGAAGATATAGACGCATGGGGTTTAACCAATCAGCATTATAGACACATTTTTAAACGGCTCCATAAAGGATAGAAACTTCAGATTTGATGCGATTTAAAAATTGATTGAGCTCTTAAGAAATATCTAAGACAATTAAGATTGTTTATAATAACCGTTTAATTTAAAAAAAAATTTCCAAATGTATCCCGAGAATTTTCACTTTTTATAGTTTATTTAGACAGTGTTAAATTTTACTAAGAAATATAAATTTTCAAATGGCATTATTTTTTCGAATTGTTTTCTCACGCAAAACACATCAAGCACATGCTTACTATAATTATGATGAATGAATTTTCAAAGAATATACTACATAATTATTATACATTATTTTTGATTTCGATTTTTAATAAAATTTTAAACGGAACTTTAAAATTTTAGGACGATATTGTTCTTACAAGTATTTTTCAAAATTTAACTTATCCTTCACTTCACACCAAACACATACACACGATGTTTCAGTAAGAAACATAAAGGAAGATATCAGTAAAATTTTTATTTTTTGTTTTTAATTTGTATTAACTAATAATTTGTACTTAAAAAATGTATACTTCTAGTATGGTATTGTTTTATAAGTATTTAAAAAAAAAATTTATTAGGCGCCCAACACATTACTCATACGTACCATAATACCATTAAACCATTACACAAAAAATGACACAAAAATTTTTATTTTTTTTTTCTGAATTGAATTTACCATTGAATTCTATATATTTAATATTTAATATATTTATTTATATATATAAATTCTCGGGATAAATTTGGAAAATTTTTATTTCGATACTAAACCTTTATATTAATACTTAAATATAATCAATCTTAATTCTTTAAACAACTTTATAAATGCTCAATCAATCCATCTTTAAATCGTAACAAATCTAAAGTTACTATCCTTTATGGAACCTAAGATATGACCGTTTAAAAATGTGTTTACAATGTTAATTGTTTAAACCCCATGGGTCCATATTTTATTTTATGACAGGAGCTAATAACAATGTTAAAAATGAAAGCATTGTTTCAATATGCAAAACGTAATAGCCTATTTTCGCAGCTCAACTAATTGAGAATAATGTGCTCTGTGAATAATGAATTTAATTTTAACTAAATTTTGTATAAATTATAATTTAATCGCAATATCCGAAAATTGTATTTTGTACTTGATTTTGCGACATGAGAAAGTAATACCAAAGAACATTTTAAGCAGATTGCCCAAAGCAGTCATTGTACTTTAGCTTTAAACAAAAAATTATTCGAAGTTCTATTTCGAACTACCGATACAACCACATACAGTTTTTTTTCTATTTTTTTTTTGCATTTGGTGTTAATGACAATTATGTATTTAAGTAAATATTTGTTTTTACAATTCTCTCTCTTCTCTATTTCATGTATAAAATTAAAAAATATATATTTCCTCGTGAAATGGATTTAAAGGTTCTTAAGGTATATAAAAAGATAATTGAAATGTTATTTAAAGCATTTTGCACCATTTATAGTTAGTATTTTAATTCGTTTTTATTTGGATATTGCTTGCACTGTTTATATTTTCCATTAGAAGACCTTTCAACCTTTCCGATTCATCGAGCTTATACCATAAGTTCAAATTAAATCAATCGACTCGAAAGTAGTATTGAATTTCTGAAAAAAATATATCTTGCATATATCCTAATTGATTCGGATAAGGTTGGGATGTCTAGTTTAACTTTAGTTTATTTTCCTAATGCAAATATAAATTCAGTTTCAAGATTTGCCGTTCTTTACTCGTACATTTTAAATCAAGTCCTCACTCTATGAACATTGTTTCAAAGTAAACATTATTATGAGTGTCGCAACTGGTCAATAGAATTTTTTCTATTACAATTTTATTTTTTAAATTCATAATGTTGCATGTTCAAATTTTTCACTTAAAGCAAAAATTTTCTGTGCTAACATTTGATAATGCGAAATTTGTCCGTAGGTGTTTCAGTTTGTAATTAGATACATATTTTAGAAGTTTGGACTTACAACGCATTACATGGGTAGTTTGATTTACTTTATATGCTCTACTAAAATGCTTTTTATTACAAATTGCATAATTGCAGTATATTGTTATGTTTGAATGCTTTTTAGGATTAAGCAGAATTTTTTAATTGGCAGCGAAACTTAATTCGCCTGCTAATATAATAAAACTAACTGTTATAATTTATAGACTATGGCAGCAACGAAGAGAAATGCCGGTTTAACATCTGCAGTACCAAGAGCCACTTTGAACGATGAAGAACTGGTGAAGTTCAACAAAAATGAGAATCTTACTTAAATTAATGAATACTGTTTAATATTACAGAAAATGCATGTCTACAAGAAGGCTTTGCAAGCACTGATTTATCCAATATCATCCACTACACCGCACAATTTTGTATTATGGACGGCTACTTCGCCAACATATTGTTATGAATGCGAAGGATTACTTTGGGGGATTGCACGGCAAGGTGTGCGTTGTACAGAGTGTGGTGTCAAATGTCATGAAAAATGCAAGGATCTATTAAATGCTGACTGCTTGCAAAGTACGTATAACACATAAATTTATTCTTTTTCAAAACTTATTCTAACCATTATAACACCATCAAGTAAATATTTATTATATATTACTTAGTACGTAATATATGTCTTTTGTTAAAAATTTTGCGATTCATTAAATTTGCAAAGTATGTACATTTTTATAGTTGCCGCATAATTAGACAGAGATACCGGCATGTTTGTTGAAAGTTTGCCAGGCACTATAGATGCACGAATAAAGTAGCTAGAAGGGAATTTCATAACAGGCTATTATTCTCAGAACCTAGTTTTAGTGCTTTTAACTTGCGCTAAAAACCTATAATGAAAGTTGATGTTAAAACTGCAGTAATTAAAAATTCAAATATATAAAGTATTTAGTATACTCGTATAAAGCCGAAAGTAATGAAATAACGCAGTCGACGGGTGCTTTATATCCCCTAAATCATATAGAACGTATCAATTATTATTTCCTGGAACTGAAGGAAAGCCTTGTCTTTTGCAAAATAGCGCGCCTTTTGTTTTGTTTAATCTAAAACAACAAGAATAATTAATTAATAATGAGTAACAAGTCTTGCAAAACGGTTTTCTTTATTTCCAATACATAATCTAAAGCATGGTGATATCTTAAATAATAAACAATATATTATATACGATATAATACAATATAATATGGGTGCGCAGAAAAGCTCTAAATAAAATTTTGTAAACGTATTTTGTGACATACCCACACATGTTTGACAGGCATATGAAATACGAAATGGACGTTGAATTTGATGCGTATCTTTTTTGTAAAAATTAGGGATATTCATGTTAAGCGCCTTTATCGCTGCGATTTCATTGCAGAACTGTCAAACTGTCAATGTAACCGGAATATGCTACGTGTACGTAAGAAAAAAAATACGTACGAACACGCAAGACAAAATTCGCATGCAATGTGACCGCTGCCTTACGCACAAATGCGCAAATCGTAAACATATGCAAGTGATAACATAAAGTTCCTCTGATGCATATTTGTTGCGAAACCTGTACAAGTATTAGGTTTCAAAAAAAATGATTTATTAGTATTTTATAATAGTAAAGGACGGTTCAATTTTTGACAGTACAGTTTTGAGTCAAGTGCTCCTAGTAAATGATTTCTGCATATCCCATCAAACGCACAGAAAAATCTTCCTGACCGTCAATTCTGGCTTGGTCAACGTTTCAGCCGGCTCATCGCGATTCCACTACGATCGTTTTCGTTTTCAATTTTATTGCGATTCAACAGCAATTTGGAGATCGAAATTCGGTCCATGAGATTTTTTTGCGTTAACTCATGTGGTACCCATATATCAAGCTTCTTTTCTGGGCAATCAAAAGAGTGCTTATATGATGGATGGACTTGACAATTTTCATGATTTTATCGAAATTTTTGATGCGTGGTGGATGTTTGACATCGAAATGACCGGAACTAGGGTAACCCCCGTTACATTCTTACGTATTCTTTCATATTCAACAATATGTATGTGCTTTGACCATTTCAAAGGAACTTATTTATTTTTTATTCTTTATTCAGACATGATTTAAAATCATTTATAAAGAATTGAATTTCTGCTTTTTTAATTCTATTCTATTTTAAATTCTATTATTCTATTGATAGGTAAAAAATAGTTTTTTTAGAAAAGTGTCTAACAAAAACTTAAAATTCACGAAATAAATTTCGTAGAAAATTTTATAATTTTGCAATTATTTTAATTGCAAACGCATTCTGTAACCCAAATTTTCTTAATGCTTATTCTTACATCAATATTTGTAACAGCGTTACATGGCATTGCTTTGCTTAATGAGAATAATGCTTAGAGTGCACTCATGATTTGTGTTCGGATAGTGTGTTTCGTATTGGCTTTTAAATGTAATCATACCGATCTTTGACAGTTGATACTTCTCTTGAATTATTTTAAACCACAGTATAATTTTATATTTTATCCGCAGGCATAAAAGTGTGCAGAAACGAATATCGATTTTTGTAAGCAAATGTAAAGATTTCTGATTTTTTTTTGTAAATGATAAGGATCCGATGTAATAAAATCATAAAAATACGAAGAAGCACCAATAATCCTTTTATATAGGTTTAATATACTATATATTATTGAAATGTGCGTCGCTTGAATAATATATTCTTCAATGAAAGTCTTCACTGAAGACAATAAAATTTTTATAGCTACATTTTAAAGTAGTATGCAAGGCAAATTAAAATTAACGATCTCTTCATGAACAAAAAATTAGAAACTTTTTGGTATTACCTAAACTTCAGGCTTAATATTTAGGGTTATTAAAGGCAGTAACAGTAATAATTGTTCAAAATGTTTTATGTGCTCCTAAAAACTAGTAGTTCCAAAGAATTTCAGTTTTGAGTTTTTGAAAGAGCTGCACAGAAACAAAGAATATGCTCCAAGATTTTCGCAATAATCCGTTTCTTATAGTTTCTACTGGAATATTGAGTTTACATGCGTGTATTACAACCATACAGTGCCTTGTTAAAATACCAACTAGCATCCTGCAGTTATTTCGATCGAATAACAACAGAGTAGTGACGATTGCTCTACGGTGCGGATGTGTGCGGTGCACACCCTAACATAAATTGCAAATTGTCAAATTATATATATAAATTTATTAAATATCTTTACATCCAGAATTAATATTATAAATTACATTTTCATATATATATTTTTAAAGATTAAAGTTTTAGCAAAAACAATTAAATATAATTGTCTATGAAAACTCAATTAATTTGCTTCTCTTAGCTACCATGTTATAGTCGTTAGTTGTGCTCATAAGTTTGCAGCTCACATCGCGAAACATTTCTATCATATTTCGTCTTTCCCCTTTACGCAATTGCATTCATAAATTTCTGTCATAAGTGTATAAGTGTTGAATGTATAACAATTCAACATGTTGACTTGCCG